GGCTCCCTGCTCAGCGGGAAGCCTGCTTCTCCCTCTCCCACTCTCCCTGCTTGTGTTCCTGCTCTCACTCTCTCTCTCTCTGTCAAATAAGTAAATAAAATCTATAAATAAATAAATAAAATTAAGCCACAGATATATCTTTAAATTCCCATTCATAGGTGTTAATATTCCACTCCCAATATTTTTGCATTTATTTACTTAGATACTGTGGCTAAGTATTATCTATATCTATAGATAAAAATTTTGAGACCAATAGGAATGAAACCTAAGGGAGCATTATGTACTCTGTGGTTCTGGGGCTCTGGATGGGATTCTTTGACCTATGTGGAACACTTTAGGTTCTATTCAGAAGAGCCTTCACCTAATAACATATTAGTTTGGCCTTTCGAATTTGAGTACCTATTCTATGTTTAGCACCATTCAAGTTTTAACAATATAAAATCTCTTTTAACTTTGTTCAATATGCTTTGTATCATTGTTTTAGAAGAATGAACTGTGATTTTATCCTTGTTCCAAAGAATAGTAGGGTTTTCATTTTGTCTTTATTAAACTACCTTTTTTTTTTTTTAAGATTTTAGTTATTTATTTCAGAGAGAGAGAGAGAGCACAAGTGGGGAAGTGGGAAGGGCGGAGGGAGAGGGAGAGCAGACTCCCCACTGAGCAGGGAGCCCAATGCGGGGCTCCATCCCAGGACCCACAGATCATGACCTGAGCCAAAAGCAGATGCTTAACCCACTGAGCCACCCAGGTGCCCCTGTTGAACTACCTTAATTCCTTTTCTTTATTTTCCATTTTTTTCTACTTTTGCTCTTCCCTCTCTTCTTTTCTGCAGTTTTTAGTGTATTTGGTAGCTTTATCTTCACCTTCCTTGTCATTCTACATCTTACTCTTGATGAACCAAGACAATATAAGAGGAAATAAATGGTAGAAGAATTCTAGATATTTACATATCATAAAATAAAAATAATTATGTGACCTGTCACAGATACCCAGAAAAAACTCAAGCCTCCCTTCATCGTGCACGCTGCTTCCTTCCAGCTGGCATTGTAGCAGTGTTAAAGCAGCACCCCAGATTGGTGGCTGCGGGAGTCCAGGCGTTTTACCTGCGGGACCCCACTGACCTGCGAGCCTGCCATGTTTTCAAGACTTTCTTGCCTGAAACACGAATAATGACATCGGTAAGATAGCTCTCTTGGTCATTTAGTTTCTGTCACTGGAAAAAGAGTTGAACATCATTGTGTGCTAGAAAAAACTGGAAATATTTTGTTTCCTCCTGGCAAGTTAATATACTTTTTTTTCTTTTTTCTTTTCTCCCACCCGTGGAGGAAGATTTCAAGAGACTTCACTTCCTATTTAATATCTAAACGTTTCTTAGATATTTTCTGACCATATTTTTCCTATTTTATTTTCTTCTTGAGAATAAAACATTTCAGGGCACCTGGGTGGCTCAGTCGTTAAGCGTCTGCCTTCAGCTCAGGTCATGACCCCAGGGTCCTGTGATCGAGCCCCTCATCAGGCTCCCTGCTCAGTGGGAAGCCTGCTTCTCCCTCTCCCACTCCCTCTGCTTTTGTTCCCTCTCTTGCTGTGTCTCTCTCTGTCAAATAAATAAATAAAATCTTAAAAAAAAAA